ACCATACATTATCCCTATAACATTGATCTGTTAAACTCGTGACCTAAAACCCAATCCATCATTATTGCTCTCCCATCATATTTGAAATATTCATACATAGTCCCAATTTATATTTATATATACTCAACATTCCCTGTACTTATAAATTGATATATTATTAATTCAATAGTTTTATTAACATGAACAAGTTCTTAAAGTTATTAAATTAAATTATTATCCTTCAGATACCTAAAACCTTGTTATACGTGTTGAAGCCTATTTTTCAGCTGGTAGATTTTATAATCGACTCGTATAACAAATTTGGTGTGGGTTGGGTAGACACTCAACAAAATTAAGTGGATTTACTAGGAAATAAAATTGAGATTTTAGTAAAAGTTAATGTCAAATGTTAAAGTCAAACTCAGACCATTATACATAGTTCAAGGACTTCAATTAGAATTACAAATAAGGGTATTCAACAACCTTTTAGAAACAGCCAAAAGAGAAGACGTCGTAACATTTGCAACTATTCAAAGAATTCAAAAGGAAGTAAACAGAATTAAAGATTTTATAAGATTTCACAAGTTAAAGATTACAATTGACGAAATTCTTAAGTATTTAAGTGAAAAATAGTATATATTTAATCGATCAGAGTATTATCAGAGAATAATCAAACATAGTGAAGCACACTCACAAGGAAATAATCAAGTATTAAAAGAGAATCAGACCTATCTTGTATCCATTGCTATCCGATAACAAAACAACCTTCAGAAGAATTTGGAAGATTTTGGTATTTCTGGGCAGTTTATTTATTAAAAGGAAACTCATATACTAGTATTACTGAAAAGGCTTTTGATAAAGCAAGAGAAAACAAAGATAATTCTATAGTATTAAATCAGTGTTTTAAATTAATTATAACCTCCATAATATATTACGAACTTGCACAAGAATCCTTTGAATACTTACTAAATATATTAGAAAACAAGTGGAGTAATTACTTGGAAACTGACAACTGGAAAATTGAAATATCGATAAAATCAGAAACTAATTCGAGATTAGTATCAAGGAAAAGTTCAAGAAGAAGTTCAAAAGTATCAAAAATGGCTGAAAATAATGATGATATATTGGTCAATACATCCTCACATGATCAAAGTTCACCATCAAAAAATAGTAGTTATGATCCTTTCCGTGATTCTTTAGAAAGCGATTTGAAATGGGCTGAACTTATGTACAAAATTCATGATAACACAGAATTCATAACTCATTATAAGGATGCAATGAGTTCTGAGGAAAGAATGAAAGTATTGACATATCTCGCAAATAATAGTAGGTTTTTTGAAATGAATTACGAACCTACTGTAGTTGAAGCAACCCATCGCAAATATTACATGCTTTCTAATAAAAAGGATAGTTAGAATTATATAACTGGCAATAATTATGAAAGCAATATACCTGGTAATAATAATAATAATAATATACCAAATCCATTGGATACATTATGAAAATTTTCAACATCTTACCAAAGGACATATGATGATGGTGATAATGACGAAGGATCTGTTTTTAATGTATTAGCAAGATCAAATAAAGCAGTCCAAAATTACTCTGGAAGTAGATTGAAAATCCATGAAGAATTATTAAACTGAAGAAAAGAGAATGTAGAAGACGAAAGAAGAAGAAACAATCCTCCTCCAGATACTGGTAATGAATTACTCAACCAATTATTATTAGGATTTACCAATATATTAAACGTATATACAGGTCTTACTAGAATATCAGTCCCAAAGAAAACTTGACTTGTTGACTTTTTAACTTTTAAAGGAGGTAATCAAGATCCTATAGAATGGTTAAAAGGATTTGAAAGAGAATGTGCTGCAAATAGAGTTGCTGAGGAAAGAATGTTGGACATTCTACCATCATATTTAAAAGGAACAGCATTAACTTGGTTTAATCAAAGTGGAGCTCACCGCTGGAGAAGTCTTGTTTCAACCCAATCCTTTGTTCGATTATTTCAAGATCACTACTGTAATGTCTTCAGGAAGCAACAATGGAAACATCAGTTACAAAACTTGAAACAAAAAAATGGAGAAATCATTGATGAATATGTGGCTGAAATTACAGAATTATGGAAAAGGATTGATCCATATAACAATCGAACGAATGCTGATAAAATTGCTAAATTCATTGAAGGATTGCAACCTGAATTCATAGTTCCAGTACAATCATCTATGCCTAAAATATTGAAAAAGCTATTAACAAAGCACTAGCATTAGAAACTGCATACTCAATAGGAATGGAATTATCTGCATACTCCTTAATACCAGATTACTTGAGAAATCTACATGGAGGATTTATGCCAGCCAGAACAAGTCTTGCAACTTACCAACCTGCTATTTCAACTAATGCTTTCAGAAGTAATTTGAATCTATTGAATAAATTATTGATCGAAAATTGGAGCAACTCATACGAAAATTAGGAGTAAATCAAAATAATTCTTCAAACTATAATAGTAACAATAATAATAATAACAGAAACAATAACAATAGTCGAGACGTTAGAATATATCGTAACTGTAATTGAATTGGACATGTTGCTAGAGATTGTAGGCAAAGAAATAACAATAATAATTACATTAATAATAATAGTAATAATTATAATAGTAATTATAATAATAATAATAATAACAATGCAAGGACATATTTTAATTGTAACAAACCTAGATATATGGCGAAAGATTGTCAAGCAAACCGAAACAATAATCATCAAAATAATAATAATAATCAAAATAATCAAAATCAGAATAATAATTATAACAGTAATAATCCAAATAACAATAATAGAAATTGGAATAATCAACAAAATAACAGACAATCTTTTTTAGAAAGAAATCAATAGTTCAATTCTTCAGTTAATCATTTAAACTAGTAAACACACCTTCAGGAGGTGAGAGTGCAGATGAATTAAATCCTCTAGAAACTGAAAAACAAGTTACATGGAACAACCCACTAGAATATGTTAAAGAATTCCATAAAAATGATTACGAATATGAAGAAAATCAAGAATATATCAACGAACCTTTTAAAAATGATGAATTCATAGAATATTGGCATATTTTCCAAGGAAATGACACACCTTGCCTGATTTGTAATTTTGATGACGTTAACCATCATAGTCACATGATCACAAAGAAAAAGAATCAGGAACTACAACAGAT